TCCTTTCTCTCAGTAATGCTTGATGTATAATTCAGAGAATGGGAATTGACACTGGGTCAGAAGAGAAATCCTAAAGATGCCTTTTAGATCGTGGGTTGTTTTTTTGTTTTTTTTTGTTTTTTTTTTTTTCATGTGTTTTTTTAGAACCCTTCCCTCACTCAAATGAACATTTGTTTAGACCCCTATGGGTAACTTGTTGTGACATAGATACACAAACTTCATGGAATAAGGGGACATTTCTAAAGTTCTACAATCTCTTTACATCTAGTGAGCAGATGAAGGTACCAGGGACCTTAGCATTTCAGGAAACACAATTTGAACACATCATCTCTCCACTCTTTCCAAGTTAAATCTTTTAACTATGTTTACTGAAATTGTCAGGGAAGCATCAACCGCTCAGTCCAAGAAAACTAGAAACTTGAAATAATTTTTAACTCATCCTTCTCCCGTCGTTATTAACAGAAACAATATCTGACTTAACCATTTACTAACAATTACATTTGTTCCAACTACTAATTCCACACTTATGTTATTCTCCTATTATCCTAAGTAAACTCCCAAATAACTACTTTGCCCATCAATTAATATGTTGCAAATTCTTTTTCCACACAGTTTCTAAATTTATAGATATTAAATGCTAATTAATTTATAATTACATTAAATTAAAGAGTAATCAATAATAAAGCTAATTAGTAATGATTAATCCTGTCAATTTTAAGCTTCAAGTCACTTATAAATAATGAACTAGATGTAATAACCTACAGATGAAAATAAAATAAATATGCACATGCATACAAGTAAAAGTGAGAAATTATAATCAGATTAGTGGATTGTGTTAATGTAAGTATCCTGGTTGTGCTATTATTTTCTAATTTGAGAAAAGTCTGGATTTTCTCTGTTATAACCATATGTGAATATACAATTATCTCAAAGTATTATACCAAAAAGAATGATGACTGGCTATCTGCGTTTGATTCAGTATTAAGCACTACATGATCTTCAGTTTAGCATTACATTTAAAAGCATAGAATCTGTGTTAAACTCAATCTCTAAGAACTTTAGTTTCTTTACCTGAAGGGTTGAAGTAAAAATTAAGTTTTTAAACTGAAAAAAGTAACTTTATTTTTAAAAATTCAAAAATTAATTGAAGTTGGAAAAGAAATGTAAATCTCACTATACAGAGGTGACATAATAATGTGCATGAAAATTTTAAAGACTGCTAAAAATCTATTGAAATAATTAATACAGTGATAAGATAGAAAGTTAATATACAAAAAAATTCTTGCTTGTCTAATGGAAAGAATGAATGAGAAGAAAGAATAATAAAGAAAGTAATACTATTTACAATTGCACCCAAAAGAATGAAATACCTGGGAATAACTTTAATAAAGGAGATAAAGGCCCAATACATTGAAAACTATATAAGAAACTATGAAATGAAACACAAAAAGACACAAAGAAATGGAAAGATAGCAAATGTTCATGACAATGTTTTTAAAGTGACCATGTTACATAAACCAGTTTACTAATTCAATGCAATCCCAGTGATTCAACTCAAGGAAATCAGGTGGTTATAAAATTTGTGTAGAATCGCAAAAGAACAGGAATAGTCAAAGCAATCCTAAGAGAAAAGAAGAAAGAATAGAGGTATTTCACTTCTGACTTCAAACTATACTACAGCGGTGATAACAATCCAAACAGTATGGAATTGGAACAAAAACAGATGAAACATAATAAGGAGTTCAGCAATAAACCCATATTAAAAAATTCCTAATTAATCTTTGATAAAGGAGCTATGGTCATACAATGACAAGAGGAAAATCTCTTTAGCAAATGAATGATATTGGGAAACTTGGACAGTCACATGCAAAAAAAAAAAAAAAAGAAGCTTGTATATTCCATATACACACACACAAAATGTTCAAAATTGATTGAATACTTGGATATAAGATTTCAAACCATAAAATACATGAATGAAAAGAAACAAAACACACGTCAGTATCACCATCAAAGATGCACTTGGGAATGCAGTTCCAACGGCAAGGAAAACAAAAGCGAAAATTAACAAATGAGACAATTTAGAACTAAAATACTTTATACAATCAAATCACAAAATCAAAAGAGCAACTTATGGACCAGGAGAATATATTTGATATCATATATAGAGAAGTGGCTAATTTCCAAAATATAAAATAATCATGCAACTCAATGTTGAAAAGGAAATATCCCATTTACTTATTACAAGGAAATGTGAACCAAAACCACAATGAGATATTACTTCACTCTTGTTACAGTGGTCTATGTTAAAAATAATGGTGCTGGCCCTCCCTGATGGCGCAGCGGGTTAAAGCACAACACTAAGAAGCTTAAGCCACATCCTCTTGAGTTCGATTCCCGCCTGCCCCGGAGGAGATCCACATGGCGCGGCAGACCTCTCCTGACCCGCCTGCTGCTCCCCTCAGCAGTGTACTTCATTGATCTGCCTGTTCTGTACCCCACTCTGTCTCTGGTGAATCCTCTCACCCTCCGCATCTCTGGCCTGTACCCCAGTTCTGTATGAATAAATAAATAAGTCTTAAAAAAAAAAAAAGAATGGTGCAGTCTTTATGAAAAATGGTGTGGCTATTATTAAAAAAGTAAATACCTAATGTTCCAGCAGTGCTGGTATTAAAAACTCACCTAAGAATATCAAAACACTAATATAAAAAGATCTATGATTAATGCATTCATATTTTCATAGCATTATTCACAATAGACAAGTTATAGAACCTACCTAATGAACATTGGCAGGTGGTTAGATCATGAAATTATGGAATATACAGTCAGTGGAATACTATGCAGCTACTTTAATTATATAGAATAGTGCCTTTTGGAGACAGATTAGATGAATGGCTCTTGAGATGATTGTGCTAAATTGAAATAAGAAAGTTGCTTACAGGATAGTTTCACTCACTTTGTGGAATATAAATAACCAAAGGAAAACATGTGTCAAAGCACAACAAAAATGATTCTTAGACTCTGTAAAAACAAACAAACAAAAATACAGGTTACGATAAGAGATGGGAAGGTGCTAGAATATTAATACTGGAGATTTAGTGGAGGGTGAATGAAGCATGTGTACAAATGAAAGTGTGAAGTTGTACTCCCTAAATTATTTGTCTAAATTATTGTCAAATACTGAAACTCGAAAAAAGCGCTTTTGCAAAAAAAATTCCTTTAGTACTCACTAGAAGTATTGAAGCTTTATATATATAATTTTTTAAAAGATTGATTTATTTGTGCATTCAGAACTGGGGATAGGCCAGAGGCTCAGGGGCGGTGAGAGGCATCACCAGTGACAGAGTGGGGAGCAGAACAGTCATATCGACAAACTACACTGCTGAGGGGAGCAGCGGGCAGGCCAGGAGAGGTCTGCCACGCCATGTGGTCACCTCCGGGGCAGGTAGGAATCGAACTCATGCGACAGTGGCTTTAGTTTCCCAGTGCTGTGCTTTAACCCGCTGGCCACCAGAAAGGACCTGAAGCTTTATATTTTCTGTCTCAGAAATTTCTACTTCCCTCTCAAGCCCCTTTCATTCTTGGCTCCACATTTCTACACTGTTTTATCGTAAAGTTGTTTGTCATATCCTCATATACACCACGCTATTTTCCATTTTAATATTTTCTTTATGCTATTTCCACTAACTTATTCATGCCACAAGTCTTTATCTAGTAAGTTCAGTTTCTCCTCACTAATTAAAGCTATTTCTTTAATGATATGTTCTCATTTTTGTAACTTTATAGTGTTACTATGTTAGAGGTTTGTTTTCCTGTTTTTTATCTTTTTTAAAAAAAGATTTCTTTATTCATACAGAACTAGGGTACAGGCCAGAGGTGCAGCGGAGGTGAGAGGATTCACATTCACTTTTTATTCCCAGTGCCCAATATGCCTCCTAGGGAAAAAAAAAAAAATATTTTCTATACATGTGTGGCTTGAGTAAATGAATGTAATTCTCTGTATAGCTTGGGAATCATCAGCAATAAATCCAATGCTATTATCTTCTATTATGTAACTATACCAGAGCATTCATTTGCAAATTTAAGATGACTGGCTACCATAATACACTATTTATTTAACACTTTAGAATATTAACAGTAATGATTAAGAGCTTAGCTGATTTCATCCTAGGATAAAATTAGTCTACTGATAATCACAATGAGTGGCATTCTAAGGTGATTTGTGCAGATAACATGCAGATTTGGTGGCAACATCACCTGAGAAGACTGATTATTTCCTTTGTGGATAGAGAAATCAAGTTTAACATTTTTTTTTTTTTAACACAAACTTTGGCCCAGCAACAAAATTGAGCAAACAGAAATAGCAATTATTTGCAACATATTCAGATGTTTGCTTGTCCCTTAGCCTAGCAGAGAATTCTGCACTCCAATTAAAAACCACCCTCCCCCCCCACACACACACATTAAGGTATGTAACTGGTGATTATGAGTAAGATGCAGGTCTAGAGGGTTGAGTTTGTTGTCCCAGGGCATGATGCTAAGATTGTAGTTATGAGAGAGGTGATTACACCAAAGGTAAAATTTAAGTTTTCTGAAGTTGTTTCTGTTTTCTTACTCACTTTTTACCTGCTGGAGGCAAAATGGGCAGGTAATCAGTTGAGACATTTATAAAATGAGTTTAATAATAGGTCAGACTTGCTTCAGAGTTAATGAGGGAATGTTTATTTTCTTTTTGAAAACTGTAGAACATAGTTATTGACAGCGAAAGAGTAGACTTTGACATTATTAATTAGGAAACAAAAACTTTGGTAAATGATGTCATCTGGTAGTAAAATGGAGTCCATGACAGTGCCAGAAGAAACAACTTGCCACTTCTAAAGTTTTCCCCCATATTATATTTGAATATTCACTTAACTTTTTCTTAATTGAATATTCTATAATTTTAATAGTAAGTACTACAGATATAGAAAATATAATCATAGTTTCTTTTTTACTCTTTTAAGGTTTGTAGAACCCCCAGCTCATTTCTCTTGGAAAGAAAGTTATTACCGATCCACTATGTCCCAGAGCACACAGACAAGTGAATTCCTCAGTCCAGAAGTTTTCCAGCATATATGGGATTTTCTGGAACAGTAAGTATCAACTATGCAAAAAATGTTTTATTTTAACTATTATAAGTAGCTGAATGACTAGAATATTGCTTAGTAGGGCATGTTTCTAGAATCAAATCGGTGAAAATAGTTAACATTATTGAAAAAAAATGTAATCAACAGTATCTGAGTTTGAAATTGAAAAGAGATTAATTTGGTTTCAAACACCAAAAGATTATTATTACTCCAAGGTGGTAAAATTTAGTGGAACAAAAGGACTCTCCTGTCAAAATAGAAATTATTTTTCCAATGATTCCCTATTATTCAAAATGTGTTCCTTAGGCTTAATGAGTCTTTGCTTACTATTACAATGCAAATATCCCCTAAGAAAAAATAGAAACTATCTTTTGTTGATCATTTATGAGTTACTAGAGAAGGGATTATTATCTCCATCATTAAGATCTTGTTGGATAAGTGAGTAAATTAAGGGAAAGATGGAAGAATATCAGAAACTGAGGACCCTGAGGTAAAAGGTTTAAATACTCTGTATCTCTGAAATGTCCATTTCATCCTGTGTTCTGCTTATCAATTTGTGCATGAGAATATGGACCATGATTCATTTTACAAATAATGCTTAGATCTGAATTTCCCGAGATTATACTTCTAGTAAGTGGTTGAGCCAGGTTTCAAATATGGAGTTTCTGAGTTCAACCATTCAGCTTTGACAAGTTTGAAGCAGAACAAGATCTTTGTTACCAAACTGATGAGAGGAGAGGAGGTGTTTTAATCTTTTTCCATGCCTAACACATTTTCTTTTCCTTTATGGTAGACCCATATGTTCAGTTCAGCCTATTGACTTGAACTTTGTGGATGAACCATCAGAAAATGGTGCAACAAACAAGATTGAGATTAGCATGGACTGTATCCGTATGCAGGACTCAGACCTGAGTGACCCCATGTGGGTGAGTGTCAAGGCTTCTTTTTCAATATGTGATTCATGCTCTCCAAATTAAGTCTGTCTTTTTCATGTCATCTGCAAAGGCAGATGACTCTGAAAATATAGGGCCAGTGGAAGAGGGTCAGTGTGATCTGCAGAGAGATTAGGGCTTGGAATGTGGGTCTGCTTCAACTCCATAATGCATGTTTCCACTGATGTAGGGAAGGAAGTTGAACATAATTCCTTATATTCTTTATCTGCAATCACTATGAAAATCAGTATGGAGACTCCTCAAAAAGTGAAGAAGGCCATATGAACTAGCTATTTTACTTCTGGGTATTTATTTAAAGAGTATGAAAACAACAATTAGAAAAGATATATCCTCCAAAACAGCCTAAATACCTATTCACAGATGACTGGAAAAGAATGGGGTATTATGTATTATGGAACACTTCTCAGCTATGAAAATAAAAAGATGAATTCTTGCCATTTGTGACATGAATAGACCTTGAGGGTATTACTGAATAAGTCAGTCAGATAATGACAAATAATATGTGATTTTATTCATATATTCAACTTAAAAAGAAACAATAGAACAAACCAAACAGAATATAATTATTATTAGACTATAAGAACAAACTAGAATAGGGGGAGGGGAAGGTGAGATGTGAATTAGATCAAAGAGGTGAATTGTAATGTGGAAGATGGAAATGAGACTTTTCTGGGTTTTTTGTCTGTAGAAAATCTGGGGTGTAGGTCATAGTGCAGGAGTAGGAGGATTCACTGGACACAGAATAGGGAACAGAAGAGATGGGGCTACTGAAATACACTACTGAAGGGAGCAGTAGACGAGACAGGAGAGGTCTGTTGTGCCATGTGGGTCACCTACCAGGCTGGACATAGAATTCAGACCTTATTGGTAATCTTGCTGAGACTTAGTCCGAAGGCTACCAGAGAGGTCCGAAAACTAGACTTTTGATGATAAGAATAATATAGGAAATATAGGTGTCAAATTTTAATGCTGTATAATGGATCTATATAATGTAAACAAACATTACTTCAAAATATTTTAAATAGAAAAGAAAAACGTTCTTGTCCTTCTTTTTCTCTGTTGGTAGTAGGGAGTATCAAATTATTTGAAGGAGTGTTACAAGTGAAAGAAATTAAATATATGTATTTATTGCTTATCTTGTCTGATATAAGTACTATTTCACTGGAATGTTGAAAAGTAATTATTAGTGTGGAGAAGGTAGAGAAAAAGGAGAGGAAACAACAAAAAATAAAGTTGTAACTTTTCAAGTACATTGATACTAAAATCATAAGGAAAAAAATATATATAGTTTACCACTGACTCATTTCACTGTGAATATAGTTCTCAATTATACTAGAGTTAGTGAAAGGAAACTGGTAGATAAATCCAAGGAGTAGATCATCCAAGACTTTGGAATGTATTATAATTGAACATAAATATAGGTAAGTTTCTGATTTGATAGTGACTTAGAAATTATTATATTCCCCAATTAACTTAATAATATGACCTGTTAAATTAATGGGTAACACCTGCCTGGGCAAGTCTTTATTTTTATATTCTCTCCAGGAATTTTCATTCTGACACTGGTCTCATTAAAGTAAGCAAACGTTATAGTTTAATGGATAATCCAGCCTTTTCATTTTCAGTTCCTATTATTATCTTTTCACATACTGAACCTTATGGATTCTTAATGTGCCATGCTGTTTCTTCATTCTTTGCTTTATTAGAATTTTCTCTTTGAAGACATACTATTTTTTTCTCTTTGCTAACCAATTTTTAGCCCTCCTTCAACCAGTTATTTTACCTTCTTCTTGAACATTCCTTATCTCTGTCCTCCACCAGTCTGATTTAGAACCTGTGCCTATAAAGCAACCTAGTTATACTTACAGTCCTGTTACTTATTATACACTATTGTTTTTATTTATCTTAAAAGGAGACGGGGACTATATTTTGTCATGTCATACATATTTTTAATGTTTAACACATACTAGGCTCTCAGAAATATTTGAGGTCATATAAAATGAGACTTGGAAGTTCACCCATCAAAAAATCTCTCTTTCAAGTAGCCCTGTGGGAGACACTTCTTTCAGTGATAGATTTGTTCTGTATTCTCTGTTGCACAACATAGTAACACTACTTACATTTATCCTTTGGACATTTGAAATATGACAACTGACGGATTTCATTTTAACTTTAGCTAGTATAAATCTCAAATTGCCAGATATTGCCAGTTGCTAGTGTATTAGGTAGTACAGTTTCAGAATATTTCCAGACAGGAAGCCAGTCTCTGCTTGAACTTTCACAGCAGATCTTCCTGTTGTGTCTTCCTCTTCCATTTCTTCTTCTCTTTCTTATGGTTCATCAGTATAGAAAGTTATGTTTTATAAAAAAAAAAAAAAAAGTATTCTTTACCTCCACACTTCCCAATTCTGTTTAGAAGTACCCAGATTAACCATTTGAAACTAACTTCAGGTATTTTGGTGCTTTTAAAAAACTAAGGGATGCTTTGGAGAAAATCAAGTGGGATGTCTAAGAAGTAATCATGTAATTTATACATGATGCTAGAAGAGAGTAAGGATGAAGATAGGAAGAAAGCCAACAAAATACATAAATGTAATTGCTCTCATTATAAGTGTTTGATTTAGCTAAGAATTACCTTAAGATTTTACCTTATGATTTTAAGTTATTTTTGCCTAAGAACTAATGATATTGAAGCAGAATACCCATTGTTCAAAATTTTTCCTGAGTATCAATTACTAATATGCACATTTGACATTGATTCTTTGATTCATAATAAGAATGAGTGATAAATTTAAAACTGAGTATTTGATTTTAATTTAATTCAGACATTCCTGTTAGATATATAAATTACATTTTTAAAAGTATGATTTAACTGAGCTTTAATACTTGATGATGATTAACATGTTTGATATTTAATCTTTTCAATAACTTTGTGAAGTAAAAAGTATTTTTTAAAGCTAATAAATAAAAGAAAAAGATTAAATAACTTTATCTAGGATGACATTTAAGTCGGAGTTATGTCTATATTCTACCCATATTACTGAAATCTATCTTGTACTAATTTTTCTCCAAGGTATATTTGAGATGAACTGGAATTCTATTTCTTCCTGATTATCCTCCTGTTAAAGAATTTTAGGTATATTTTCATGGAGAATACTTTTCCCCCTCAGATTGTCATGTAACAGAGTTTCCACATTTTTTAGTACCTCTACAGAGTCCATTGGGTATAGAAATGATAAAGCATAGTTTCATCACTGTTTCTTTAGCTCCTTTGAGCCTGCCAGTGTTCAACAGATCAAAGTGAGGATAACAAAAAAAAAAAGAAAAAAAAAAGAAAAAAAAAATCAGGAAATAGACTCAGGATAGAAAATCTTGCAAAGAATAGAGGATTGATATGAATCAGTAAAAGATGAAAAAACAAAATGCAATAGGATTTTGCCAGTGGAGGAGACAAAATAGATATCTTGGAAATAATTGTACTGAAATAATGCAATCATATTTTATTGAAAGAGTGAGAATGAATTTGATTTAACAAATTAATTTGTCATTTAGTTAAGTCAAAGAATGGATACACTGCTAATACATTACAGTTCTATATAATACTGAACCTTCTTTTGTCATTGGATCATTATAATATTCTCATAAATGTGTATGTATGATCACATTGATAGAACCAGATAACAATGATAGTCCTCATTAATAGAAGTGGCAGAAGGTTGGCTTTCCTGGGATATTATAATTTGTGGTTTGGTTTGAAAAATAAGAACTAGGACATTTTTAGATTCCTACTTCTTGTGAAGGAAACTACAACTGGTGTGAGTCTCCTTTCTTCCATTACTTGATAACATATTTTCAGATTTCTGTTTTTAGATTAGTACTAAATAGTTTCAAAACTCTGCACATAAATTACTAGCCTTTTGAATATTAAAAAAAAAAATTGGGATCTCAGCCAAGTATTCTCTCTCTGCAAAAAATAAGAATCTGTGGACTTGAAATGACATGTCAGTTTATTAAGGACAGAGATTATGAAATTGTGAATGTCATCCCATTTTCATTGATTTTTGACATAACCTCAACCTTAGCAACTAGTTGTGAAATGAATCATGTGTTGCTCTACTTAATAGCAAAAAATTGAATTGCAGAGAACACATGTGCCTTCTTCACTGTAATTTTTAATGTCACTACAAATGAGTTACATTGAATTAAAAAATGAAGGGAAGTGTTGTTTTTGTTTTTTTTTAAAGATTTACTTATGCATACAGAACTGGAGTACAAGACAGAAGTACAGGGGCAGTGAGAGGATTCACCAGAGACAGAGTGGGGAGCAAACAGGCCGACTCACAAAGCACACTGCTGAAGGGAGCAGGAGCAGGCGGGTCAGGAGAGGTCTGCTGTGCCATGTGGGTCACTTCCAGGGCAGGGATCAAACTCATGCTGAAGTGGCTTTAGCTTCTTAGTGCTGTGCTTTAACCCTCTATGCCATGGAGAGCCTGGCAGTGGGTTTTTAAAAATATATGATTTAGTGGCTATTTCCAATACACTAGCATTACTATTTCTGTTACTTTATATCTTAGATGTTTTTTGTTCGTTTGTTTTGTTTGTTTGTTTGTTTGTAATTTGAAAACTATCTAAGCATATCTGTCATGTCAGCAACACTTAAACCTTTTCTTGCAGTGATTGATGGAAACTGCTTACCTCTGTATGTATTCGTTGTACTTATGTATTTACTCTTTGTACTTTGAAGGAAGTACTTTTGGCTGAATTCAGTTTTTCCCTAAAGATTTGAGCCATAAGTATTGAAAGCCATCTGTACTTGTAAGTTATTATTGCAGTATCTTAGTGTACATAAAGGTCTTTAGCTCTGTATGTCAAGAAAGTAGGTAGTATGTTGTATTTGCAAAATCTAGCTTAATGTTCTGTATCTTGTACCACCCAAGATACTTAAGACTTCAAATTATACATCTTATATATAA